TAAGCCGGTGAGTGAAAGGGAAAGCAGGGAAAACAACAAATGAACAAAAGTAAAAGTCATTTATTATTACCACCTACTTGCAAAATTTCAGGGAAATTGCAGGGAAGGTCAAAATGGTTACTGAAATTTTGCAAGTATGTGGTAATAATAAATGAGCACATATCCGGGGCCCTTGGACGAATCCTCACCAAAACAACAACGAAAGATATGCAACATGTCACTGTGAACAAAGCCTCGTCTTCGCGCAAATAACACCCATGTTGGGTTTTAGCTGTTTTGAGACATTTTGGAGGTGGTTTAATAATAATTATTTGTATATCTCAGGCCAATTGGGCCTCATCAATCGACCAAAAATTCATAACAGGAAGTTCTAGGAATAATTGGTTTAACAAACAGTATCGGTAGTCCACAGCTATGCATATAACGATGTCATGCGGAAAGTGAAATTCAAGGGCATACACAGGCGGGCCACATCTTTATTCATATTTTGATCATGTATCCTCGATACCACTGCCTCTGTTAGTAGGGGGGGGCTTGGAAGCAAACTCAGCCGAAGCTGAGTGTGGGGCAGAACAATAGGGGGGGGGCTTGGAAGCAAACTCAGCCGAAGCTGAGCGTGGGGCAGAACAACTGGTGTTAACGAAACATTACTGGCCGAAGCTGAGCGTGGGGCAGAACAATTGGTGTTAACGAAACATTACTAGTATAGACGGGTTCCCGGCACTACACTCGGGTTCCCAAACCGGTGCGGCATAATAGAAGCATAGGGAAGCGAGGGGATTATTAGATCACCGAGTTCCTTCTGTACCTCAACAATTGAAAGTAGCTCCTCATCGAGAGTATATTGGAGTGAGGCATCCCTCTCACTGGTTTTTCTAGTACTTAGCCTTAAAACCACACACACTAGAGTTGAGATTTAAGAGCCAATGAGCAGACCGGTTGCTGAATCCGTTTTGATCAGTGAAGTGCCTGTTTTTCAACCGATTTGGGCTTATTTTCAGCCAAATTTATAATTTTGCAGTCATAGTTCATCCTTGCCTGACAGATAAATTCTTGTCAAATTTCCTCCGAGGCGTACGTCCTCGAGGCCTGATGGTGATACAGATTCCCTATTACCCTACATCCCCTAGGTGTTCCATTTTACATAATAGGTCCCAGAGAACGTCTTTCGACTTCTATACTAAACTGTATAAGGAGATTTCTTGCAAAAAGACAGGGCGACTACTCATACCAGAGGACCACTTCCCAGACCTCGGATGACCCTGGAGCAAATATTACGATCTCACGGACCTTAAACGTTCTTCTAATGTTTAAATCTGCCGGCTCAAGATAGCGAATACTCACTATAAATCGGTAAAAATAATTCCCATAGTTTGTTTATAGGCCAATTCAGTGTAATTCATGATATATAAGGGAGATAGGCGGAGCCTTTGATAACCCCATTTACAGATAGATGCTGTCAGATCGTGGATGTCATTCAAAGCCACATATACATTATATTAATCGTTGTTGTCTACCGGATGTATGACCAGCAAGTAAAGTATGATAAAGACCTCTTTTAAATGCGTCGACACTGTCA